CTGAACATGGTGGCATATGCCTGTAGTCCAAGCTATTTGGAAGGTTGAGGCGAAAGGACTGCCTGACACCAGCAGGTTGAGGCTTCAGTAGCCATGAGTGTGCCACTGCACTTCAGCCTGGATAACAGAGTGAAACTCTGACTCAGAAACAAACAAACAAACAACAAAAACAACAAAAAACACAATCTCATTCACAGTAGCCACACACACACAAAATTCTTTGGCATTTAACTAAACAAAGAGGTGAAAGGCCTTTACAACATGAACTATTATTAATACAAAACACTGCTCAAAGAAATCAAGGATGACACAAACAAATGGAAGAACATATCATGTTCATGAATTGGAAAAATCAGTGTTATAAAAATGTCCATCCTACCCAAGGTAATCTATAGATTCAATTTAATCTTTATCAAACTACCAGCATCATTTTTCACAGACCTAGAAAAGACAATACAGAAATTCATGTGGATGCAAAAAAGAGTCTGAATAACTAAAGCACTCCTCAGCAAAAATAACAATGCTGGGAGCATCACATTTTCAGACCTCAAATTTTACTGCAAGGCTACAGTGACCAAGACAGCATGATACTGGTACAAAAATAGACATATATATCAATAGGACAGTACAGAGAATATAGAAATAAAACCATAAGCTTTTAACCAACTCATCTTTGACAAAGCTGACAAAAACACACACTGAGGAAAATATATCATATTTAGCAAATGGTGCTGTGAAAACTGACTAACTGACTAAAGGAATGACACTGAACCCCTACCTGTCACCATATATAAAACTTAACTCAAAATGAATCAATAACTTAAATGTGAAACCCCAAACTATAAGAATCTTAGAAAAAAACTTAGGAAACACCCTCCTGGACATCACAGTAGGCAAAGAATTTGTGGCCAAGTCCTCAAAAGCAAATGAAGCAAAAGCTAAGATAAACAGGTGGATCTTATCAAGCTAAAAAGTTTTTGCACAGCAAAACAAACCATCAAGAAAGTAAAGAGACAATCCACAAAATGGGGGGGGGGGGGGGTGGAATTGCAAGCTATGCATTCAACAAAGGCCTAACATCCAAGATCTACAAGAAGCTCAAATGTATTGACAGGAAAAAAAATTAACTCCATTAAAAAGTGGGCAATGGACATGAACAGATGCTTCGCAAAGCAAAAAGACATTCAAGAAGCCAACAAACAGGAAAAACTGCTCAGCTTCACAAATCATCAGAGAAATGCAAATCAAAATGACAATGAGAAACCACCCCACACTGGTCAGGATGGCTAGTATTAAACCGTAAAAAAGGCCAGGCACAGTGACTCACGCTTATAATCTCAGCAATTTGAGAGGCTGAGGTTAGAGGATTGCCTGAGTCCATGGGTTCAAGATCAGTCTAGGCAGCTTGGTGAGACCTCATCTCTACAATAAATCAAAAAGTTCACTGGGCGTGATGGTGTGTGCCTGTAATTTCAACTACTTGGAAGGCTGAGGTGGAAGGATCACCTGAGCCCAGCAGGTTGAGGCTGTGGTGACTGTGACTGTGCCACTGCATTCCCGCCTGGATGACAGAGTGAGACTCCAACTCAAAAAAAAAAAAAAAGTAAAAAAAACAACAGGTGTTGCTGAGGCTGTGGAGAAACGGGAATGTTTCTACACTGTTGGAGGGAATGCAGTGAAAAGCAGTGTGGAAAGCAGTGTGACATTTTCTCAAAGAACTAAAAGTTGAGCTACTGTATGATCCAGCAATCTCACTTCTGGGAATATACCCAGATGAACAAACATTGCTTTACCAAAAGACTCCTGCACGCATATGTTCACTGTAACACTATTCACAATAACAAAAACATGGAATCAACCCACATGCCCATTAAAAGTGAACTGGCTAAAGAAAATGTGGTACATATACACGGTGGAATATTATGCAGCCATAAATGGAAACAAAAATCATGTCCTTTGCAGCAATATAGATGCAGCTGAAGATTATCATTCTTCTTCTTGTTTTTAAATTGTAGAGACAAAGTTTCTCCAAGAACCAGTGGGCTCAGGCAACGCCTTGGCCTCCCAAAGTGCTGGGATTACAGGCTGAGCCACTAGAGCTTATCATTGGCTGAAGATTATCATTCTAAGTGAACTACACATAACAAAAAACTGAATACCACATATTCATTAGTGGCCCCTGAACATTGGTCACATAAGCGCAAAGATGAGAATAACTGACACCAAGAACTACTAGTAGGAGGAAGGAGAGAGGGGGAATAAGAGGCACATAGCTACCCATTAGGTATCATGTTCACTACTGGGGGAGAGAAAGCTTGCTAGAAGCCCAGTCCTCACCTGCACACAATTTACTTATTTAGCAAATTCTCACATGTACCTCACAACTCTAAAATACAAATAAACATATTAAAATTAAGGAAATAAAAAAGAGGGGAAGATCAATCTGTAATATATGAAATACATAATAGTGTGCAGAGTAAAAAATGAATAAATATGGTTTAAATAAAGAGAAAATAAGCAAAACATACTTAGCAGAAAAGACTATATATAAAAAGTCCATCTACTTAGTAATGAGGAAATGGCCAAATAAAATGATATTTGACATTGATTAGAAGAAAACTAAGTCAATTAGAGAATTTGAAATGATGACCATGGCAAACAAGGTTATGCATGAATGAAGGAGCCAATGGATACATTACATGCTATTTCCTACCATTTAAACTTTATCTCAACCTATAGCTTTTACTAAAGTTTAGAGATTTTATTGTGCATAAGTACTTGGACACTGACAAAATTCGAGCAGTATTTACCCCAGGAATAAAACATAAACTGGAAAGAGCCCTAACATCATAATCACTGGAATGAATGAGAAAACTGGATTGTTCACAGACTCAGACACTAGTATGTGTGAACATCCTAAGGCAAGAAAACCACTGACAAAATTTTGCATTGTAATTCCATTAATACTTATTGAAAGTTAAAAAGAGGCAAAACTAAAATAAATGGTAAAGATATGAAAAATAGGCAAAGAATCAGGACTGTGGTCATGTTAAGAGGTAAGATGGAGATGAGTCTGGAAGGTGACCATCAGGAAATTCTAATGACTGTCCAAGGGCCAGTGACGAATCTTGACAATGATTCCAAATATGCTTCTATTATTGTAACTAAAACTTGTGTAAATGCAATTTATTATTTTATTATTATATTTCATAATAAAATTTTAAAACATTAGTTAAATTAAAAAATTGCATGCTTGTTTGCCGTGTAATGTGGCAGTCTGAATTTTTTTTTTTTTTTTGAGTTGGAGTCT